GCGGATTTGAAAAGACTCCGCGAAGAAAACGAATTGCTTGTTCGCGAAAAGAGGCTTATATCCCGGGAACAAGATCTTCTTAAGCAAGAACATGAAGAATTAAAGCGGAAACTTGAAACAGAAGGACTCAAATCTCATTTAAATCGATTATTTTATGTCGCTACCGCTATTTTTATTAGCATCATCATCTATTCTTCATCATCATCATTGTAATTTTATTGGCTCGCAAGGTGGCGACTTTGTGATAATTATATATATAGTCATCTTTTGTATTAAATATTTATCATTTTTATCTTATATCAAAAATGTACAAAAATCATTTGTATTTTCAGATTAATCGCGATAGCAATTTGACTATAAAAATTAAATTTCTAAAAGATGGCTTAAAGTACCACTATCGCCACCTTAATAGAGATTTGAGTAAAGAAAAAAATTGGTGTAGTCTACTTTGATAGTGTCCATTATAGAAAATTCGACTTTTATATAGTTAAGATTATATAGTGCTAAGCAGATTTAACCCGAACATTTTTTCTCAGACAAACGTACGCTATTTTAGCCATCCAATCAATCAATCAATTTATCAATTTATCAATCATTCAATCATCATTTCATAATTTGCTACTTTTTAACAAAATTCGAGTCAGTTCGAGTTGGTACAAATTGGTTGATTAAGGGTCAAGGGTCGAGCCAAGTTCGGGTTATATAATCTAACCCGAGTATTAATTTTTATACTCGGATCGAATACGAATATGTCCAAAACCCGACCCTTCGGAGCACTAATTGCTTTTTGCGAATTGAATTTTAAAAGTTATGATATCATTAAATTTATCACGCTTCTAATGCCATAAAAAGATGAAGATATCATATACAAACTATTATTTCCGCCTTTTGTTCTTTAATTTCACACACACGATTTAAAGCATTAATAAGACCCCTGATTAGAAATCACCTTATTAAAATAAACTAATATTTGTAAAGGTCAATTAGTGTACAAATCGCCATAGGAAATCTTTAGAATAATAAAAGAAACCCTTAATTCGGTCTTGCTCCTTTACTTATCTTGCTGCACTTGACCTCTAAATCCACTAAATCCAGGAAGCTTGCAACATTTTGGTGCCCTCTCTTTGGAGGCGAAATCCACTCCACACGAAAAACCTCATATCGAGCCTAGATATTCATGTTGATGAGTGAATATTATTCCTTAACTGGTCAATTACTATACTTGTACTTGGATTATCTAAGCTATTTGATGATCTTTATTATTATTGTCCGTACTGCTTTCTGCATTGGAGCTGGTTGCAGAATCTTCAAATTAAATTTTATACCAGTGTTTCAACGTGATTCTTTGAGGAAATAATAGATACTGACTTTGATAATGCTTCACCAATACTATTTAAGCAGCGGATCGTACAACTACTCAATACTATTGTATTTAGCAATAGCCTTTTGACGCAGGATCGGACACATTTAGTGATCTCTATACTCGAAAAAATTCATGTCATTCAAAGCCCAAATCACTCCATAATAACTGACGAAGAGCTGGAAGGACCATTACAAACTCAAAGTTACTCAGAGACCGGGAGATTAGAAGGATATTTGCAAGAGATCAATGATCTATCAGGTTTGGAAGGAAATGAAGAAGGGGAACAAATCGAAATAGAGGATATATACCATCCAGAGAATGATTTAATTATATTCCTTCCAGAAGTGCTCGAATTATTATCAGCATCTTTGATCCAAACATCCACACCAGAGGAAATGATGACTGTAGAAGATGTTTTGAATGCGGTAAATGTCTTGGTGAACACACTCAATAATCAAAATAATAAGAAGATTATTATATTAATAAAGAAATTTCAGTAAGGCAATCAAGATTCAGTAACTTGGCTACAAGATTTCGAAGTAGTCACAATCACCAATGGGCTCACAATGAATGGAGAATCCAGGTCATTCGTGAATATCTGGAGGAATCGGCTGCCATTTGGTTTAATGAAAATCTAGAAACAAACATCAATATTAAAGATCTGAAAGAACCTTTTATATAATAAATATAACTTCAAGCATCAATTCACACTCAAATTTCAGCAGAGCAGAGAATGAATCGCTGGCGAGATGAGTTAGAGGAACTGGTGCAAGATGGAACAATTGACGAGTACACAGACAAGTTCGCCGAACTACTCAGGAAGGCTGATCCAATCCAAACAACATATTACACATATAGACATTCGCGTACAAATGTATTGCTGAGGAGCTAAAGAAATGATAAATAAATGCAGATAGAACGTTAGCAAACATCATCAAAGTGACCAGGAAGGCCAAAGAAGAAGAAAAGGAAGACATAACGAAGAGATATATCAAATCTACTGAAACCACGCGAGTGAGATGGATGCTGTTATAAAACCATAATTCAAAGCAATAGCCCAACAACTGGATGTTATCGAAGTTGGAAAGGAATAATCAAGTAATGAATGATCTCTTAATAATAAATTGGAATTTACCAAATCAAGACTAGAATAACGTGTTATAACTATGAAAAAATGAGACATTATAGCATCGAGTGCTTGAAATCACCAACTAACAATAAGAATAGACCAAAAGACGGAAATAACTAGCAAAGTAGGCAGACAATTCTGATCAATTAGGAAATAGTAATGAATCAAAGATGATGTTATCAATGTAGTCAGCTTAAAAAGTTACAAATGATCTAAAAGTGTTGGCTGTTATTCTATTATTCTAGCAAAAGAGTTGAGCTAAAGAAAGCTGTATGAGTAAATCTATATGAGAAGAAACACAATACATGAAGTTAAATAAAGTAGTAGTTAATAGAATACTTTACAAAAAGAATAGAAAAAAAGAATTTATCACACCACTTCAAGTACTAAAAAAAAATAAAATTGAAATAGTAATGACTAATATATATTTAGATTTACTTGTTGGACATTTTGGATTTGATGGAACTTTAGCTATTAGATATTGGTGAAATAGAATAAGAACTAATATAAAGAACTTTGTTAGATCTTGTAAAATTTGTCAAAGAATTGATAAATAAACTATAAAGTAATCTTATAGAATTATAATTGATCCAGTTGAATCTTGCAAAATAACTAGAAAATGAAATCAGTATATTATTATAGCTATTAATTCATTAATCAAATAGTCTATTCCAAATAAGAAAGCTAATATAATTATCAAATTTATTTTTAAAGAAATAATTTATAGATATAGATATCCTAAAAAATTATAATCTGATCAAGAAACTGAATTTATAGCTCAAATAATTGAAAAACTTATTATTTAATTTGAAATTAAATATAAGTTTTTGCCATCTTATCTAATATTTCAGGCAAAACTATTTTCTGGTTGGCGAAACTGAAATTTCCAAATTTTATTCAACTCCAAAATATATCCAAATCTCTGAATGTACCTAAATCTCCATAACTTATTCAAATCTCTGTAACTTGTCCAAATTTCTGTAACTTGGCAAAACTAAATTTGTAATATAAACTTGAAAATTTAATAGTAAAATACATAAAATCAATTATCAATACCTTTATAAAATTGATTGATTATAAAATACCAAAAAAATAATAAAATAAATTACTTTATTAATCAATAATAAAATATTAAAAATTACTATATGTTAATTATTTCATCTGCTACAACTTCTGGATCTCATATAATATCACTTGCATCCTCTACTAGTTTCTCTTCTATACTATATTCAAAAACTATCAACTCTTTTATTTTAATATTATCTTTTTCTATAGTATCATTAATAATTTCACCCAAATCTGCAATAAATATTGATTCATCCAAATTAAGAATATTACTAATTTCCAATTCTTCTTCTTCATTAAATATATTTGTTGTATTATTATCTTGATTTTTATTCAAATTACTAACCAATTTGATTAAATCTTTATTTGAATTTAGGTGAGAATTAATTAAAATATCTTGTATTTTATTTGAAGATTTTCCAGCATCATAATATAGTAATTCTTTTTTTGCATTTATATAATAAAATACTAAAAGCTTATATATATTTTCAATCTTGTTTAGGCTGAGATAATTTCTTTTTTTTCCATATAATCATTCAAGACTTGATTATACATATTTACAATCTGTAGCATGTAGTATTACAGAATATAATTTGTATACAAATTGATATAAATAATCTTTTCTTTAGGAAAACTATCTTCAATTGAGAATCACCATATAATAGAAGTTTCTGATTTATCAAATAGGATATCAAAGGGTTTTTCCTAAGTTCAATAAAGTTTTATTTAAAATATTAGATTACAGTAAGCAATATTTGATTTTCTTATTTTTTCAAATAAATTATCTGTAGCAAGCAATAGATTTCTAAATATTCCTTATATTCAAATAATATCTAATTAATAAATAATCTTAATATTATAAATTAATATTTTGATTATTTAATTAAATAAATATATTTGTATATTTTGGATATAAAAAAAAATTTAATAAATAAATAAAATTTGAAAACTCAGTATATCAGCAATTAAATTATCAATATATTAATTATGAAAAGCTTGATGATTATTAACTAGCAATTTTTTAATTACAGCTTCAAGATGTGCTAAATCAAGCAAACAATTATCAAAAGAAGCTGATTATACTTCTAAAATAATTATAGCTTTCTTGATTAGATGAAGAGTAAATATCAATTTATAAATATTATCAAAAAATACTCTAGTTCTCAAAATTAATAGAATAGCTGAAGATAAAATATTAACTTTATTAAATCTTAAATATTATTAAAAAATTTAATACTTACAAATTTTAAAGATTCTTTATATCATAATATTGAATTAATATAATCAAATATAATATGCCAGTATGTATCAATCCATTTTTTTAAGCCATCATCATGAATTTCATATAATTCTGCTTGTTTTTTAAGAGTTATACCTAATTTATTAATTTATTAATAATAAAATATATTGTATTAGTTAAAGAATAAATAAATTATTAAATAAATTAATTAATTCTTATCTCTATTATGACTCTTTTTAAAAAAGCTAACCAAAGTATTAGATTGAGTTAAAAGTCAGTTAGCAAATAATATTGAGTATATATAGTATGTAATAAAAATAATGGTAATGATAAAAAGTTATATATCTTGATAATTACAAGAGATAATTAACTGAAATTTGATTTATTTAAAAGTTTATAAAATACTTTATTAAATAAAAAAATTCAATATCCAATTCTATCATCATTATTTTCTAAAATTTATTTATATCTATTTTTCATAGAATTAATTAAATTTTTGATCATCTCTTGAAGAATTTTTTCTCATTTCTCATTCATAAATTATTTTAACTCATCAACATTTTATGACATACACTTTTTAATATTATTTTTTATAATATTCTATATATTTTCAATAGAATTTAAATCAGAACTATTAGATGGTCACTCCACAATCTAAATTTTATTTTGGGCAAAAAATTCCTTTGTAATATGCAAAGTGTGCTCAGGATCAATATTCTATTGCAAATACCAATCTCTACAATATAAGTTTTTTGCAACAGGTAGAAGTTGTGTCTGCAAAATATTCATATAATAAGGGCCATCCATTATATTAATAAAACAAAATAAAGATGTTCTGCCTTTTAATGAGATTTTATCTCATGTCATTACCTTTTAATATACTTTTGGCAAATATCAGATTGATCTATTATCATATTTATGCCATCTACTAACTTTATTTCTGAAAAGATTGAAAACAGTTTCATTTATAAATATTATTTTATCCTAGTTAGTATTTATATAGACTTGTATTTATGCTGTTACAGCGAATTGGTAAGTGAGTTTTCACTTTAATTCATCCTAATGATATAGGGTTGGGAGAGACTGAAATAATAAAAGGTAAAGAGAGGGAAATTAGACTATAACTTTCAATAAT